CTTTAATTTTGGAAGAAAATCAAAATGGATTAACGAAGAATTTTGGTCTCTTTTCATTTATTAAAATTTTCGAGATTATAATGATAAAAATAAATATTGAATCTAAATTTTTATACATTTACTCCTTTCTGCAGTTAAAAAGAAAATTCTGGACAGTACATTACAAGGTACTAATGTAGCTTAGGGTGAAACTAATATGTGTATGCATGAAATAAATGTACCCTAGAAACAACATAAGTAAATCTACGGGTGAGATTTGCATTTATCGTAAAGCACGCAATATGAATTGTGAAAGGGTCTAAATAGGTTTATGAAGAGGTTTTTTAAAAATTGTAATCTAATTGTCTATATGAATGCTCTAAAAGCAGGATTATATTATATTTATATGGCTTATATAAATATTTGATAACCTTATAACTACAGGTATGATGGAAAATTTAATTATTGTGTACGTAAACTTTCTACTTTTAAGTAAACAGTTCATAGATACAGTGTATACTTGACCTATTAGGCCACGTGTCATTAATAACTAAATTGAATAATTATTTTTATTAAATAATAATAATAATAATAATAATAATAATAATAATAATAATATCTATCTATAGTACTTACTTATTATAAATGAAATACATAGTGAATAATTATTTTTAGTCTTCACTTTTAGAGAATCATTCTACCCATAATTTTTTTAAGAAAAATAAATCAAAATAACATCTTATATTTTCTAAATAACTAATCACAATTATCCATTCAATTTATCTTTATTATTATCATTATTTTATTTATTTTTTATATTTTTATTTTATTTATAATTTTTAAAATTTAAGAGATATATACAAAGTGTTTCTTTTCCAACTAGTAATAATAATAACAATAGGGTAAGGGAGTTTCCGTTAATTTGTGAACCAAATTAAACTAACCCAAACAAAATGCCTGTTTATGTCAGTTTATTAGTTCAACCGGATTGAATCATAAACCAGATCAATTTGGGTTTATTTTTTTAAGCCAACCGACTTAACTTTATATTAGAATATTTTCCCTTTACAGGTTTTAAAATATATTTAAATAGAAATAAAAAAATGTGTATATCACAACCCAATAAATTAACCTGAAATCTACATGTGATTTAGCTATAACCTTATTTAAATGAATGGTGGAAATTAACTAATTTCGCAATAGAAAAAAATACACTCTAGCTATACTAATTACATTGAAGAGTCATTTCTAACTAACGAGTTTCATAAATAACAAGGGTTAACAACGCAGCCTTTTATAATTAACAGTACATTATGAAATTAATTTATCGCAAAATATATGACATTTCAGAGAATGAAGCAACATTTGTCATTTGCTTTAAAGAAAATGACAAAGTTAATAATTGATTAGCGTACGTCATGGACAGTCTGCAATTTTCTAGTTAAAGTCTCTACGTAAAGCTCGTCGATCACTTAATTATGAACTCTTTTCAGATCAAAATTTAAAAATGTCTACGGAGAAAGAAACAAACGGACGCTGCCAACTATCGGTGGAAAATGCTATTGATGAAAATGAGAAGAGTCATGGAAGCCTCAATAAGTATGCCTTTGCCTCAGTGATGGCTGCTTCTATTATCTCCACTGTATTTGGTTATGGTGAGTGGGTGACTAGCTTTCTATTCTCATACTTATCTTATTTACATTATATTTAATAAAAAGAAAAAAAAAAGAAAAAATATGGATAGCAAAAAGAAAAAAAAAATGGTGAGACAAAGAGTAGGTTTTAAGAATTGTTTAAAATAAAAAATGCGGAAAAAAATGAAGAAAAGAAAGTGATTTTTTCTTGATTTATATTCCTATTAGAAAAATTGAATTGTGGATAAATTTAGGTAAAGTACTTTAAAAAACATATAAAAATTGTTAGTTTTAATTTTAGTTAAAATCAACAGTTTTTTTTTTCTCGTCTATTCAGCTATGACTTATTATTATTTTATTTTATTTTATTTTATTTTTTTAGTTAGATTTTCTTTTTCTTCTACTATCTTTCAATTATTCATGACAACACCAAAATGGAAAAAAAAGTTTCTTTTAAGTTTCTGTTTCTTTTTCTGCCTTTATTAATTATTACTGTTGAACCAAATGAAGAAAATTGTCTCTGTACGTGTTCACTATGATCCCTAAGGGCGGGATTTTGTTTATATGTCCATATAATTTTTCTTACTAATGAAGCATTATATGTTTTATGAAAAACATTCATTTTTCTGTGTTTCTGTATTTTAGTGAACGAAAAAATTTGGAAAACATTTTCGATGGGTGTGCAACATAGCACTTCCTACGCAGGGTGGAATTAAAATAAGATAAAATCAGTTGTTTCAATATTTAGATTAATTCCTACAGTCAAATATATTTGTATCTTTAGAGCAATCCTCTTCTTGAATTTTTTACTGACAATATTTGTAGGTCTGTGCATATAGTACACATTAGGAGCTATATTTCTAATTAAAACAAGTTTTAAAAGTATTTAAAATTGTGAGAGAAAATACAGTTAATTTAAATAAATAAGTAAAAAATAGTTTAAATTTGAGTGTCAAAAGAGTAAATTACAAAAAAAAAAGGGAATCACCTTCAAAGAAAATTTCAATATAAAAAGGAAAATTAAAAAATCATTAAGATTAAAATTAAAATTAAAAATTGTAATATGAAAAGGAATAGTTAAAAATAATTAATAATTTGTGAATATTTTGACTGATAAAAGTAAGTGTTAAATAATGATAAAATCAATATCATAAGGAGAAAGAAAGAGAATTTCATACAGATATACTCAAGTTAAAAACTAAAATTTATACATAAAGGTTAATTAAATGAATTTTGGATGTGCTTAAGTATAAATTGAGAGATAATATATGCTTATAAAAAATGAGTAACAAAAAAGTGTTGAGATACAAACAAGTCTCACATCGATAAAATAAGAGAAAAAAATAACAATTTATAAAACACACATATACTCCAATCTTAAAGAGGCCTTTTAGGTGATGATTAAAAGTAAAATCGTAAAGACTTAGGTCCAAAGCGGACAATATATCATCATTGTGGAGTATGCTTGTATAATAACCTTATAAAAATAACCCTCATAAAATATCCCATAAGACAAATACCATAAAATAATCCCAAGAGAAAAAAATAACAATTTATAAAGCACACATATACTCCAATGTTAGAGACACCTTTTAGGTGATGATCAAAAGCAAAATCATAAGGGCTTAGGCTCAAAACGGACAATCACACATATACTCCAATGTTAGAGATGCCTTTTAGGTGATGACTAAAAGAAAAATCATGAGGACTTAGGCCTAAAGCGGACAATATTTTATCATTGTGGAGTGTGCTCGTGCGTAAAATAACTTTATAAAAAATAATACTTATAAAATATCATCTCAAACAAATACCATAAAATAACCCCATAAAAAAGGTTGCAAAATTAAAGCGAAACTGTATTTCTACAAAAAAAAAAAAACAATATTTTGTATGGAAAATAAAAAAAAAAGAATGGCATAATAGAAAAACTTAAGTTATAAAAATATCATAAAAATGTATTATGTTTGTTAAATAATATTACATTTTTAGTCTGCTTGCAATTGACTGAAATATAAAAGAATGTTTAGAAACGTTTACCCAAATAAACTCTTGTGATTTATAATAGTAGTATAGTTGGTTAAATTCCTTTACTTGTACCATGTAAAATTTGAAATTGAATTTGATTTTTTTAATTCATATATAATGTCACTCTAAATCTTTAAAGAAATTATAGTTGATTGTATGGGGTCATATATTATCCTCATCTACCAAAATATAAAATAAACACTAAAGAATCTAGTAAATTTAAAATCATCTGATCGCAAAGTGCTTGGTGCGAAAGTGCTTTACATTACACCCTCTAAACTCACAAAATTGGCTAAATAAAAGCAACATTATTATCCAGTTGTGGGAGTGATGTCTGGAGCACTGGTATTTATAAAGGAAGATCTTCAAATCAGTGACTTGCAAGTGCAGATACTAGCAGGCACCTTACATGCGTGCGCACTACCTGCATGCATGGCTGCCGGAAGAACTTCCGATTACAAAGGTCGCCGCTTCGCCATCATTCTATCTTCCATCATCTTCTCATTGGGTTCCATTCTATTGGCCTATGGTCCATCCTATCTCATCCTCATCATCGGAAACTGCATTCTCGGAATTGCCGTAGGTTTTGCACTCATCATTGCACCAGTTTATTGTGCAGAGATTTCACCTCCTTCCTACAGAGGCTTCCTCACCTCTCTCCCAGAACTTTCCATCAACATAGGGCTCTTGCTTGGCTACGCCTCAAACTACTTCTTAGAAAAATTGTCCCTCAAACTTGGATGGAGGATGATGCTTGGTGCTCCTACAGTTCCTAGTCTTGCCCTAGCCATTCTCATGCTGAAATTGGTGGAGTCTCCAAGGTGGTTAATCATGCAGGGACGTGTAGGTGAGGCCAGGAAAGTGCTTTTACTAGTCTCTAACACTAAGGAAGAAGCTGAACAACGGTTGAAGGAAATAAAAGTTGCTGTTGGCATTGATGAAAACTGTGCCCTAGACATTGTTCAGGTTTCAAGGAAAAGTCGCAGTGGTGGGGGGGCTCTGAAGGAACTGTTTTGTAAACCTTCACCACCTGTGCGTAGGATACTGATTGCAGCGATTGCAATTCATGCGTTCTTGCAGTTGGGAGGAATCGGGGCTATTTTGTTATACAGTCCAAGAATCTTTGAGAAAACAGGAATCACTGACAAGAGCATGCTCATGCTAGCCACGGTTGGTATTGGAGTCAGCAAAGTTATATTTTCATTTGTATCAATATTTTTATTGGATAAAGTTGGGAGGAGGATTCTCTTGCTGGTTAGTGCAGTAGGTATGGTTGTGACCTTGTTAGGGTTAGGTATTTGCTTGACCATAGTGGAGCGATATTCCACTGAAAGAGAAGTGTGGGCGATAAACTTTACCATTATTGTTACCTACGTCCTTGTGGCTTTTATGACAATTGGAATTGGGCCAGTGACATGGGTTTATAGTGCAGAGATTTTTCCCTTGAGGTTTAGGGCACAAGGTCTTGCTGTCTGTGTGGCCGTGAACAGAATTGCAAATCTGATAATCATTACAAGTTTCATTTCAATTTATAAAGCGATTACAATGGGTGGGCTTTTCTTCTTGCTTGCTGCTATTAATGCTTTGGCTTTGTGGTTCTACTACACCTTGCCTGAAACTAAAGGAAGATCTTTAGAAGACATGGAGACTATCTTTGGGGGAAATTCCAAGTTGGAGATATAAATGAAGCCTCGTTGCAACCAATAAAATTTCACTTGTTCCCTTCCTTGTGCCCCCAATAAAAAAAACAGAGAATTTTTTTTTTGAACGTCGAAGAATATATATATATATATATATAT